AGGAAGGAAGGAAGGAAGAAAGAGGGTGGGGGAGGAAGGAAGGAAGAAGGAAGGAAAGAGGTGGGGAGGAAGGAAGGAATGGAAGGAAGGAAAGAGGGTGGGGGAGAGGAAGAAGAAAGAGTGGGTGGGGAGGAAAGGAGGAAGAAAGAGGGTGGGGGAGAAGGAAGGAAGGAAGGAAGGAAGGAAAAGAGGGTGGAGGAGGAAGGAAGGAAGAAAAAAAGAAAGGAATAAAGAAAGAAGAGGGTGAGAGGAAGGGAGGAAGGAAGGAGGAAGGAAGGGGGGGTGGGGAGGAAGGAAGGAAGGAGAAAGGAAGAGAGGTTGGGGGAGGAAGGAAGGAAGAGAGGGAGGAAGGAAGAAGAGGGTGGGGAGAAGGAAGGAAGGAAGGAAGGAAGAGGGGGGGGAGAAGGAAGGAAGGAAGGAAAGGAAGGAAGGAAAGGAAGGAAGAGGGTGAGGGAGGAGGAGAGGAGGAAGGAAGAAGAGGGGGGAGGAAGGAAGAAGGAAGGGGGAGAGGGTGGGGAGGAAGGAAGGAGGAAGGGAAGAAGGAAGGAAGGAAGGGGGAAGAAGGGAGGAAGGAAGGAAGGGAGGAAGGAAGGAAGGGAGGAAGGAAGGAAGGAAGGAAGGGAGGAAGGAAGGAAGGAAGGAGGAAGGAAGGAAGGGAGGAAGGAAGGAAAGGGTGGGGGAGGAAGGAAGGAAGGAAGGAAGGAAGGAAGAGGGTGGGGGAGGAAGAAGGAAGGAAGGAAGGAAGGGAGGGAGGAAGGAAGGAAGGGAGGAAGGAAGGAAGAAAGGGTGGGGGAGGAAGGAAGGAAGGAAGGAAGGAAGGAAGAGGGTGGGGGAGGAAGGAAGGAAGGAAGGAAGGAAGGAAGGGGACAGGGGGATGGATGGGAGGAAGGAAGACAGACAGCTGCAGTGTATGTGATCACCACAGAAGGTGCAGTGGGGGCCAGAGGAGGGCCCTGGGAGCAGAGAGTGATCAGTACGAGGAGACAGAGGCCTTTTCAGATATTTTAATTAGACAATGCCCTACAGCTGGCTCTATAGCAGCCACACCTGGACCTGGTACCACTGACATCACTGCGTCTCCCAAGCACTGGGGCAGAGCTGCCTGAGCCTCCCAGGCTGGGATGACCTGCCGTGCAGCTCTGGCAAGCCTGGGCTTGTTCCCTCAGACAGGACAACCTCTGGTCCTTCTAAGCCTTCCCAAATGAAGACACAACTGGGATGCTTTGTCACCCTCATCGCCCCTGTTGGCTGATTCTCACTTCATTGTCATTTAGTCTTTCAAGTCTGACTGGCCCACAACTACCTGGGCTCTGGTTCCCTACTGGGCCCAGCCAGCTGTGGCCAAGGGAGCACCACCAGTGTCCTGGGGAGTGGGGCCTGCAGGGGTGGCAGGAGATGCCACCTGGAGCTGCAGCCCTGGTTTACGCTTCCATGATCACAGCTAACCAGTGTCACCTGAAAGTCTTTTTGGAAGAAGGCAGGGAATAAACACATATGTACAAACCAATCCAAACAGAATGGCACTTTCGACCACCAAACAGGTCCATGGTTTTTCCCTGAAGGACGAGACAGAATCTTCTCTTCAAATTCTGAAAATTAAATGCAAAAGCAGCACTAGTCATTTGATCCAGACACAGGATGCTGGACTACAAGTTCCCCAACCTGTAAACACCTGCCCAGAAAGTGGTATCGTCAATTTTTCCTGTTGTGAATGAGTGACCGAAGCAGTTTTTGCTCCTTGGGTGGATGGGATGGAGTCTCATTAACAGAAGGGCAAGACCATTTTCACAAACGTTCTTGATCCTGAGAGTTTAGCTCAAGCTGGTTCTCAAAGGAAATGTCTTTGCAAGACTGAAATACACGTTTCTCTCCATTCTGCTTTTACTGCAATCAGCACCGTTGGCGTTTTGAGCTGAAAACCCGTGACCTCCAAATTGCAAGAAGCCTATTTACCACCTTGGGCATGAGAAATGTCTGCTGCAGACCCAGGCAGAGACTGTAGGTCAAGGCTGTCCTCCGGCGGCACCATGCCTCCCCTACAGAGGGCACTGCTGTCTGGCTCAGCTGGGCTTTAGTAGGTCAGGACAAAACGCACAGTTCTGCAGCTGGCAAACACAGGCCCTGGCCAGATCTCGGAGCCCAAGGACATTTCAATCCTCCAGGAACAGAGGGTTCCTCCCTTCTGTTCAGAAGGATGCGTTGACTGATAACACGGCCCCTGGGATCCTTGAATTCCAGTGTCCTCATTTATGGAGACGTTTTTTCAGTAATTGGTAGAAATGTCATGTCTACACCTTGCTGGGTGTGGTGGTGCACACCTGTAATCCCAGCACTTGGGAGGCTGAGGCAGGAGGACTACCAGTTTGAGGCCAGCCTGTGCAACTCAGTGAGACCCTGCATTAAAAAAAAAAAGCAAAAACAAAAAAGCCAATGTTTGATTAGTATGTGAATATACAAAAGTGTATCAGAGTCGACAGCTTGATAAACGTTTTTCTTTGTGTGTGTGTATGTTTTTGTTTTTTTGTTTTTGGTGGGACTGGAGTTTGAACTCAGGACTTCACACTTGCAAAACAGGCACTTTACTACTTGAGCCACACCTTCCAGTTCCTTTCCTTTTTCTTGATACAGATATGTAGTTTGAGATTCTTGGAGCATCATCAAAAAATAATTTATTTTACTCTAAGTACATGCTCTAGCATTAGCTCCAGCCCTATCAGTGGGTTTTTTAATGAAGCTGTCTTGTGCAGCATTTCATCTTTAAAGATATTCTCTAAATAGCTCCTCATTACACTGTTCAGAAACTCTCATTCTTCTGATGGAAGAATTTATGGCAGTTACGATTTTGTTTTTTAAAAAGCCCTGTCCTTGACTCCGAGGACTGAGTCGACTCCGCACTCCTGGCCAGGAGCCAGCAAAGGCGAGTGTGATGGTAGGAATGGGAACAAGAACAAGTGTCACCTCTGTGTGTCGGGTTCCATGCTAGGGACATAACAGTGGACAGGGACCAGCACCCTCCCTCAGGGGCCATCGGCATCAACCATTTTTGTCCTTTCCAGCAGACTGGTCTGAAGCAGCCTTCTGGGAAGGCTGGCTTTTGTTTGTTTGTTTGTTTGTTTGTTTTTGCAGTGCTGGGGTTTGAACTCAGGGCCTACAACTTGAGCCACTCCACCAGTCTTTTTTTGTGTTGGGTTTTTGCCAGAGGGGCTGTGAACTATTTGCTTGGGCTGGCTTCTAACCACCATCCTCCTGATCTCTGCCTCCTGAGTTGCTAGGATTACAGGTGAGCCACCGGCCCTAGCAAGGCTGACATCTTGATGGCTGCCTTCCTGAGGCTGACCCCAAGGTTTTTGGGATCATTGCACCCCACACAGGCCCAATAACAGCATCCCTTCAGATGGGACAGTCAGGCCAAACGACTTCTAACACATAAAACACACAGAATTAACTGGAAACCAAAGACACTGCAATCCTAAGAGGTACCAATGGTGACAAAATCATGCATGTGCTTTTTAGTTAACTCGTTAGATCACAGGCCCTAGTGGCAATCTCATAACCATGGGTATTTTGAAGTACAAAAAAGTATTTTGAAAAATCTGCAGTAGGTGTAATGTCCTAGGAAAATATCTGTGATTGCCACTGGGGACAAAGTGGCAGGTGTGGCTAATCCCAGTGTGGCTGCTTGATAATGAATGTACTACTTTTAGAAGTAAAGATGTTAGCCCCATCAGGGACTTGCATTTTGTAAAAATGTCAGTGGTACCGGGTCGGTGAAAACAAAATTACGTAAAATTCATAAAATGAATTTCCGGCCAAACAGGAAACACTGTATACTAAGCACACCTAGAAAAATGCATGAAAAATACACAACTTCAAAGGGAACCTTACGGAGGAATCAAGGCTCACGGGCACTTGGACGGGGTGAGCGGGGTCCTCTCTGTCCCTCCGGTGGCGGGAGCAGGTGGGGCGCCATCAGCTCACAGGACATGAGGAGGAGATGTTTTCCGCACACCCCAGGCCTGAAAAGTGCCGGTCAGTTTCTCAAGAGCACAGGGCACAGCGTCCGGTGTCACATGCACGTCCGGTCTGTGACATGGGGTGCCTTTCAGCGAGGCCAGAATTTTGTCCCTAATCAGTGCGCGACCTCCGGTGGGTCCCAGACGTCGCTGAGCCTTCTTTCCTCATCTGTGCAGCCGGCTCTGCAGGCTCCGACCCCAGGTTCCTGCTGTGCACGCCGGCCTCAGTTTACCAGCCACGGAGCGCGGGGATCAGGAGCACCTGGGGCGGCGGCGGGGCGCGCGGACTTGGGGGCGATGCGCCGCGTGGGGGGCGCAGCCGGGCGCCAGGAAAGACCTTGGTTTTCAGCATCAAACGCTCGGGGTGCGGAGGGGCAGCAAGGAGAGAGGCTTTGCTTCAGCCGCCGGCCCCTGCTATCGCCTGTCACTGGTTGAGTGACTGCAAAGCGGGACCTGAGTCTCCGCTCGCCTCCCTCTCTATGGGCTTGGTAGTGGCTGGTGCTTTTTAAAAATGTGCCACGGTGCCCGGGACACGTAGGAGTGCCATCCCGCAGACAGACGCTGGGAGTGGTTGTTTTTCCGCAGATCTTAAGTTTCAGAGAGGGTAGAAATACACCGCCAGGGCATACTGTTTCTGTATTCCAAATATAAGTTAAAAGTTAGAAACCCCTCTCGACCGCGGCAGGACTCGAACCTGCAATCTTCTGATCCGAAGTCAGACGCCTTATCCATTAGGCCACGCGGCCCCCTGGTAGCTACACTGCTTTGGGTACCTTATAGTACCATTACGCTATAGGCTCGCCCGGGACCGACCCACTTGCTTCTTGAGGACGGGGATGATTGGACCTTGACTCCTAGCATTCCGCAGGGAGAGCCCACCCGGAAGTCTCTTTTCCCCCCCGCAGGCGGACCGTTCCATTGGCGGCCCTCCTATTGGTCGCGCTGGGAGGCTCCCGCCTGCCTTCTCGGGTAGCCGCGGGACGGAGCGCGGCGCAGACGGGAAGTTGCGGCTGCCAGCGAGGCGGACTGGCCGGTAGGAGGCCACACGCCACCCCGAGGCTGCTTAGGCCGTGCAGAGGGGACGTCGCGGCGTCAGCCCGGGGTCGGGGGCACCGCAGACCGGGAAGCAGCGCGAGGTCTCCGGCGGGCTCGGCGGCGTGTTGAGGGGGTGGGGAGGCCGGTCGCCGAGCAGCGGCGGGAGCGAGGCCCGGAGCAGGGCGGCGGCTCGTCCCAGAGCGCACCGCGGCGTCGCCGGGGACAGCGGGGGACCGGGCGGCCCGGCGCGCGGGGGTGGCCGCCGACGCCCCCTGCAGGGCGGCCCGCGGCCCGGGCGTGGGTGGGAGCAAACGGCGGGTTCGAATCCGAGTGCTGGCACCTCTGGGCGCTTAGGCCCTGAGGCCGCGTCGGTCGCTATGAACGGCAGCTGATAGCTGCCATCTGCCGAGGGCAGGGCCGCGCGACTTGTGCGCCCCCGTCACCCTCGGCCCAGGCCTCTGTGACAGGTGGACTGTAACTGTGACAGGTCCCCCTGTGATCCCATTTTGCAGAGTAGGAAATTGGGCATTAGGAGCTCGCCCAGGGTCACCCAGCTTTGAGAGCCAAACCCGGGCTGAAGCCTGCGTCGTCCTACTCCAGCATCTGCGCTCTTCCAGCCCCGGCTGCAGCCGCCCCAAGTTCACCGGTGAACTCAGGTTCCCTAAGGTTGTCTGGGTTCCACAATGCCTGGCCCACTGCCTGGCATGCCGTAAATCAAGGCCTGACGGCTGTCAGATCAGCATTCACCCAGATACTAAGTGACACTTTATGTCATCTGTCTCCTGTAGGATCTGTGGGAGGAAGGCAGGCATGGTCGGCCCCACTGAAGTGACACGAACCCAGACACAGGAGGCGTCTGGCTCCAAGTTTTCCAGCCAGTAGAACAGCCAAACTGGAGCCCAAGGCCAGGTGTCCTGGCTCCCAGCGGGGGTCTGCCTGCACCAACCATGAGTCGCCTGCTATGGAAGAAGGTGGCCAGCGCCACCGTCGGGCCAGGGCCGGTTCCAGCCACGGGACGCTGGGTCTCCAGCTCCGTCCTCGTCCCCGTCCCCAGCGACGGGCAGCCGCAGCCGTCCTCGGAGGGCGGGCAGCTGCGGCACAGCCCGTTGCACATCCAGATGCTGTCGCGAGGGCTGCACGAGCAAATCTTCGGGCCCGGCGGGGAGAAGCCCGACGAGGCCGCGGTGCACCGCAGCGTGGAGCACCTGCAGAAGCACGGGCTCTGGGGGCAGCCAACCGTCCCCTTGCCAGACGTGGAGCTGCGCCTGCCGCCGCTCAAGGGGGGCAACCTGGACCAGCACTTCCGCCTCCTGGCCCAGAAGCAGAGCATGCCTTACCTGGAGGCGGCCAACTTGCTGTTGCAGGCCCAGCTGCCGCCCAAGCCCCCCAGCTGGGCCTGGGCGGAGGGCTGGACCCGGTACGGCCCCGAGGGGGAGGCCGAACCCGTGGCCATCCCCGAGGAGCGGGCCCTGGTGTTCGACGTGGAGGTCTGCTTGGCAGAGGGAACTTGCCCCACATTGGCGGTGGCCATATCGCCCTCGGGCTGGTAAGTGGGGGCCAGGGACGGGACTTTAGCATGCATGGGGGCCCAGATTAATGGTTTGGTTCAGTGACATTTACTCTTTACTTACTGAGCGCCCGCTATGTGCCGGGTGCTCCGTTTGGGGGCAGCTGGTGTGGTGAACTAAGCAGGCTTCACCCTGCTTCTGTGGGGCTCACTTTCTGGGGGGAAGGTAGAGGCAGTCAGCAGATACCCAAGCAGATGTCAGGTGTTGATGAGGGCCGTGCAGAGAATCCCATAGGTTGTGTGTGAGATTTGCCGGGGACACTTGAGATTACCTTGTTTTGGTGCCTCTCCCACTTCCCTGGTAGCTTCATGAGAAGTTAGTCTGAAAGACATTTGAGCAGTGTTTCTGTTTGGGTTGTTGGTTGTTTTGGGCAGAGAAATCTCCTTTTGTGGAACTGTCCCAGGCAGTCTAAGCATCCCCCGTTTCTTCCATAAATGCGCAACCAAATTCTGCCCAACGTTTCCAAATGCTGCGTGGATGCTGTTGACCATATGCAGCTGAGAACCATTGCTTCCTTCCCCCAGCCTCTCAAGCAGGCATTTTGGTCCTGAACAGGAATAGCCAATCACTCTCTGCAATTTAAATAACTTTCTAGTGCTACCCGAGTTTCTTTTTCAAACAATGATGGCAGTACTGTTTCTCCCCCCTTTTTTTATTCTTCATTCCAGGATTAAAATACTATTTACAACATTAATGCTTTCAGGCATGGCCAGCAAAAACGTTGGCAGTTTCTTTATTCCTATTGGAAGCTACATCTTTGTAAAGAAAGCTGCGAAATGTTACATATGCAGTTGAAAGTGGTGAAAGCATGGCTAAGTAGCTAAGGTAGGCATCAGTGCTGAAAGAGCAAAGCCAGATGATCGCGCATTGATTTACTTCCAGTTATAACAACAGTCCAGTGCTGCTTATGTCACGTGATGACGAGATGAAGGGGAATACCAGCCATCATTTGAAAAGATAAAGTAGCTTTGGTGGCTGAGAGAAAATTAGGAAACGAATGACAAGATTTATTTTTGGTCTGTTGATCACTTTTCAGCCAGTTAAAGTCTTTTTTTTTCCCCTCTTCCCTCTCTTCACTTCTCCTTTCTCTCCTGTCCTTCCCGTCCTGCCCTCATATTCATCCCATTCCATTCTTGACTGTGGTACTGGGGCCCTGCTCAGTGTGCCTCATGGTGGAAGTCATTGCTGACCATGGTGGGTGGGGGTGGCTGCTAGATGGTGTCCCAAGAGCAGTCCACTTTTAACCTGGCCTGCCCCTCTCACGTGGCCGTGTGTGCCTGACCAGCCCACAATTTACAGGGGGTTGGGGGAAACCTTGGACAGCTCTGAGCCTCCCACAGGGTGACTTCCCAAAGGTTGTTAAAAGGGCCTTGTCATCAGGCTAGAGGACCATCACACAGGCTGTCAGCCTTCATTTGAGAGTCACAGGAGAACTGGCATGGCTTCCAACTCATCTTAAACCCACCTAAGGTGTTTGTAGTTTGACTTTCATTTTTTGAATCACAAGTTTATTGATAAGGTGGCTTCATGCACAGCCACGGGCCTGTATGGCTTTTTATTGTAACTTACGTCTCTGTTATCACCACAGCCTCTAATACTTGGCGTTCTTGAGCCTTCTGTGCTGTTTTTAAGGTCTTTGACATGCTGAATTAAAAAGGGAGGGGTGGCAGCTTGAGTCCCTTGTATGCCCACTGTTTGGAGGACAAATTTGATTTTGCCAGGTTTGAAGCTAAGAACCACTTTTCAGAACAGTTAGCCTGTGGTACTTGAAGTGGCTAAGACAGGTCACTTTTGCTCCCTTCCCTAATGGTTGCAGGAGCTCCTTCACAGCTGCCTCAGTCACACATGTGGCCTGGTCATGCTGATGCTGAGAGGACCTTGACCCTTTGCCATGGTCTGTGGCTCGTGGCAGGCGTCCACTCATTGGCCATCCCCCCTTTGGCTCCTTGGCAGGTGCAGCCTCTTCCTGAGTCAATGTCAGGCCCCTGTTAGGCAGCACTCATCTGTCTCATATGCCATCGTGGCCGGCACGTGTGCATATGTTCTCTCATTCTGGTACTTTCCCTGGGCTTTGGCTTCTATGAGGTGCATGCTTTGCTCTTTGAACTTCACAGTCTCCACAGCCATCAGGTGATTCAGCCTGTGTGCCTGTGCATTTGTCTTTTTTTTTTTTTGCCACTTTGAATTTAAAAAGTCACTCCTTTAGGTTCTGTGATTGTCTTCTAACTCCTTTTCTAGCTTTCTGAGCAGTAGCTCTTGTGTTTAAAGACACAAGAGGTCAGTCATGTTCATAAAACACCTCAGAGCCAGCTGCAGACTCAGCACCAGGCCCAAATGCCTGTCTGCCTGTGGCACCTAGTACTGTAGCACCCAGCTCCCTTGTGTCTGTGGGAGTTTAAAAGTAGAGAAGCTTTGTCACCCCCCCACCAACCGCCCCCCCCCTCCGCCGCCCATTGCACCGCCCTTGGGGGTGAGGAGCACCCATGGTCCCACTCGTGTCCCCAGCTGCTAGTGCAGGCCTTGGCATGTAGTGGCACTGTGCAGGGGTGACGTGCAGCAGAAGCTAATTCTCCATGGTTAACCTGCCCGCCTGTCATCTCTCTCAGGTATTCCTGGTGCAGCCAGCGGCTGGTGGAAGAGCGCTACTCTTGGACCAGCCAGCTGTCGCCGGCTGACCTCATTCCCCTGGAGGCCTCTGCTAGTGTCAGCAGCTCCACCCAGCGGGATTGGCAGGAGCAGTTAGTGGTGGGGCACAACGTTTGCTTTGATCGAGCCCATATCCGGGAGCAGTACCTGATCCAGGTAAGTCCCTGAACTGTAGTCCTGGCCAAGGATGGGATAAGGATGGTCTCAGTGGCTGGAGAAGGCATTGCTTTCCTGGCGCTTTCTCCACCCCCTCTGCAGTATCTTCAGGGGCCCTGCTGACCAGCTTCTGTCCCCCAGGCAAGTCTGGAGCGAGAGCTGAGTTGTCACAGAGGAGTGATGGCCCGCCCCTCTGTGGTGCTTTAGAATTTAGTACAGATCTTGGAGGCTCTGAGCCACAGTCTGCTCACATTCTGCGTCAGCCACTGACGGGCAGTGTGAGCATGGGGCATCTCTAAGCCTCGGTTTCTGTGTTTGTAGAGAGCTAACAGAGGGCTGGAGGGATGGCTCAAGTAGTAGAGTGCCTGCCTAGCAAGTGCAGAGTTCCTGAGTTCAAACCCCAGTACTGCCCTTCCCCCCCCCCCCCACCAAAAAAAACCAAAACAAAACACTAAGCGCTCACAGAAGCTCCATCTCAGAGTTTTTGGGAGGGTTTGAACAATGCCCATGTGTCAGACACTGAGAACTGTGCCTGGTATGACCATTCTGAATTTTATGGAAAGTGCTTTTTCATGGTGTCCTGACAGCAGCCCTAGGAGAGCACACCCTCAGCCTGCAGCTGCAGTGCTGAGGCTCAGGCAGCCTTGCTTGCACTGGCCCCAGGGCTTGTGAGTGGCGGGGTGGGGGCTTGGGGCCACACCCAGACAGAGAGCTGAAGGTAGTTTTGGCATTCTGTACTCAGTTGCTCAGAGCTGTTGCTGGAAGCTGGGGAGAGCTTGCATGTTGGGTTTGAGCAGGCCTGCGTGTTGGGGGGCGGGCCCAGGGCAGCGTGAGTGAGCTTGAGTGCTGAGGCGGGTGTCCATAGCTCTGAAGCCGTGGTGCTGGCCTGGCTGCAGCTCCCCCCCCCCCCCCGCCAGGGCTCCCGCGTGCGCTTTCTGGACACCATGAGCATGCACATGGCCATCTCGGGGCTGAGCAGTTTCCAGCGTGGCCTGTGGATGGCCGCCAGGCAGGGCAGGCGCAAGGCCCAGCAGCCCGCACCGCGAGGCCAGAAGCCCAGGAGCAGAGCCGGCGGCCCAGCCGTGAGAGCGCCCCGGGATGGGCAGGAGAGGGATGCCCGCGGCCCCAGCCCTGGCCACCTGTCTGCTCTTAGCTGCCTTGCCATGAGCCTTGCTTTGGTTCTCCAGATTTCATCTTGGGACTGGATAGACATCGGCAGTGTCAACAACCTGGCAGATGTACACAGCCTCTACGTGGGGGGGCCTCCCCTGGAGAAGGAGCCTCGGGAACTGTTTGTCAAGGGCAGCATGAAGGACGTCCGTGAGAACTTCCAGGTATGGTGCAGAGCTCTGCGGACAAGGACTGTGGCCTACCTGCAGCTAGACTTGGGGAGGTGCTGCTGCCAGGCCTGATCCTGACAGCTGGAAGTGGGAGTGGGTGGCTGCCCCCCAGCGCCTTCCTGTCCTCTTGTGCCAGGACCTGATGCAGTACTGCGCCCGGGACGTGTGGGCAACCTACGAGGTTTTCCAGCAGCAGCTACCACTCTTCTTGGAGAGGTGAGGGGGCCTGGGCAGCATCTGGGGGCCGGTGGGTCCTGGTACCTGGGCCCCTTGCAGATAGGGAATGCTGACTTTTTCTTACGCTGGCGCTGAGCTTTTCTAGGCTGAACGAATGGTCTGTTTAGAGGCGCGCTCGTGCTGTTGTCTAGTTTCCTGCCTGTGTTTATTAGCGAGTCAGTTGTAAAACGTGGTTGGTCAGAAGCACTGGTCAGACCTGGTTCAACCTTTGATGTCTCCTTCTCACTTGACCTTGGGCTCCATTGCCTGGTTTCTCTGAGCCACAGTCCATCGTGAACTTGTACAGGCATACTTTCCTCTCCAGTTGTGAGGTCCATGATGGGCCCTTGGTGTATGTAACTGCCTGACACAGTGTTGTCACTCTAGGGTAGTCATTTCTTTGTGATCTGTCTTCCCACATCACTCCTGAAATGGATGTTATTTCCACGTTATAGGTAGAGGAACTGAGGAACACGGAGTTTGGGAATGGACACAGGGCTAGGGACCTATGGGGATGACTGTGAGCCTGACTGACTTCAGAGCTGTGCCTTGGAGTGAACTTGCCAAACTGGCTCAGGGATTGGACAAAGGTCTTCCTGCCTCCTGTGGTCACTATGGTGGCCCTGGTGTCTGTCCCTTAGGTGCCCTCACCCAGTGACTCTGGCTGGCATGCTGGAGATGGGCGTTTCCTACCTTCCTGTCAACCAGAACTGGGAGCGGTACCTGACTGAGGCACAGAGCACCTATGAGGAGCTCCAGCGGGAGATGAAGAAGTCACTGATGGACCTGGCCAATGATGCCTGCCAGCTGCTCTCAGGAGAGAGGTAGTCAGGCCTTGGGCAGGCAGGTCAAGCCAGGGGACAGGCAGGCAGGAGGCCTGGCTTGTAGCTCAGTCTTAGCCTTAACCCTGGTGGACTGGCTCTGCAGGTACAAAGAAGACCCCTGGCTGTGGGACCTTGAGTGGGACCTGCAAGAGTTTAAGCAGAAGAAAGCAAAGAAGGTGAAGAGGAAGGAACCAGCCTCAGCCAGCAAGTTGCCCATCGAGGGGGCTGGGGCCCCTGGGGATCCCATGGATCAGGAAGGTGGGGAGCATGGGAGGGAGGTGGGGCAGGGTGGTCCCTGGGATGGTCCTGGGACCCAGAAAGTCATTGGAAGGGGTCGCGCCAGTCTTCTGGAGATGAGCAGGATAGATCTTCCTGAAAGTCCTTCCCCTGGTCCTGACTGTCCTCACTTGCATAGATCCTGGCCCCCCCAGCGAGGAGGAGGAGCTTCAGCAAGATGTCACGGCCCGTGCCTACCTGCAGCAGCTGAAGGGCACCACAGAGCTCCTGCCCAAGCGGCCCCAGCACCTCCCTGGACACCCTGGGTAAGCCCTGTCCCCTCTAACACACCTAGAGGCCAACTTGTGCCATCTTCAGGATTGCCCCTGTCTGGGTTGCAGTCAGTCATTCTGTCTTCCGGTGCTGGACACTTGTGTCCACTCTGACCCTGGCTTCCTCGACTCACTCAGTACATTGTACGAGGATCTGCTGCTCACAGCAGTGACATAGGTGAAGCACAGCTCCTCCTTCCCTGTGAGGAGCAGCCGTGCACAGCAGCCAGCGCAGCTGACTGTAGGTCTGTGGTGACACATGGAGTGAGCCGTGTTGAGGCCATTATGACTGCCTGGGGAAATCAGGTGGCTTTCTTGAGAGGTGACCCTTCATTTGAGCCTCAGTGTCAGAGATGAGGAAAGGGCAGCCAGAGGACCAGCAGGGTGCTGACTTTAAGAGTGAGTGCCCTGGCAAACAGCCTGTGAGAGACAGAGCCAGAAGGACCTGGTGTGTGTCTAGAGCAGTAGGAGATCTGACGGGAAAGGCAGCCCTGTCCTTGGGTTTAGAGGTTGCGTAGGAGCTTGTTAAAGCCAGCTTTGGGTTGGGGATGGTTGTCTTGCCTTCTGACTAGTTTTATGAGACTGACACGGGGTCTTTCCTTTTGAGATGTTTGAACTGTAGATTTCATGGGGATCCTGACCAAAGTGTCCCAGAGACCATGACTTGTAGGTCTTGGTCACCAGAAAGCCCAGAGGCCTTGGAGGTTGGGCAGGTACCTCATGAGAGAGAGAACCTCCCTCGCTCCCTCCTTCCCTTCCTCTCCTTGATACCGCTTTCTTCCTGGTGGGGGATAGGTGGTACCGGAAGCTCTGCCCCCGGCTAGATGACCCTGCATGGACCCCGGGCCCCAGCCTCCTCAGCCTGCAGATGCGGGTCACACCTAAACTCATGGCACTGACCTGGGATGGTTTCCCTCTGCACTACTCAGAGCATCATGGTTGGGGCTACCTGGTGCCTGGGCGGCGGGACAACCTGGCGAAGGTGCCGGGGGCCACCACCCCGGAGTCGGCTGGGGTGGCCTGCCCCTACAGGTAAGGCTCAGGCTCCAGCTCCAGGGAGGAAAGGGCTGGAGAAACCCTGTCAGCTTAGGAGAGAGCTGGTCCAGGAATCTGAGTTCTGGTTCCTTTTCCATGGCTTCCTTGACACTCCAGGCCTCAAAGCCCTGGTGGGGACATTTAAGGCCTCAGAATGGGGGGATGGAGGTCCTGCTCCTGGGCTCAGCAGCATAGCTGCCTTCATAGAAACAGGCAGAGGGAAGGTTGGCGAAGTGGTTGGGGAGGGGACTTGTTTTCTTTTAATTTCTCCTTCAGTGTAATTTGAGTGCTAAACAGGCACTGTCACTTTTGCATTGCTTACCTCAAGAGATAGGATGTCCTCAATTTCTTATTTTCATTTTTTTTGGTGGTACTGGGGTTTGAACTCAGGGCCTTGGACTTGCTAGGTAAGCACTCGATTCTTGTGCTTTTTGCCCGGGGCTGGACTCTGACTGCAGTCCTCCTACCTCTGCTTCCCAATTAGCTGGGATTATGGGCATGTACCATTATGCCTGGTCCCTAATCTTAAATTTTTTTTTTTTTGCAGTGCTGGGGCGTGAACTCAGGGCTTTGGGTATGCTAGGCAGGTGCTCTACCACTGAGCTACATCCCCAACTTGGAATCTGTGTTTTACAACTGGCATAGATCCAGGAAGTTAGTTGAGCTATCTGAGGCCTTGGCTTTTGACAGCTGAGTGTTGTGGAGAAGCGATGGCACTTGAGGTGGCCCATAATTAAGGTTCCTGGCTCCACAGGCAGGACCTGAGTGATGTGTGTGGCCTTCAGACAGAAGGTGCTGAAGTGGGCCTTGCTCCTTGGAGCCACATGTGCGTGAGTGGGCAGGCGCCAGGCTGGAGTAGGCCTTTGGTCCTGTTGCCCAAGTGCTCTGCATCCAGAGCGCTCAGAGGCAGCTCTGTGGTACCAGCTCAGGGTCAGAAGAGTTTGGATTTAAATCAGACCAGGCTTTGAGCCCCAGCCTGCCACCAATGTGCTGTGTGCCTAAAATCAGGGAAAGCTCTGTCTGCCTCTGCCTAGAGCTGACTCTGAGGACTAAGAGGAAGGGAGTGTGGGAAGCCCTGGCAGGCTGCCCAGTCATGAGGCTACACTCCCCGATGACAGGGCCATCGAGTCCCTGTACAGGAAGCACTGTCTGGAACAGGGGAAGCAGCTGGAGCCCCAGCAGACAGGTCTGGCCGAGGAGTTCCTGCTCACCGACAGCAGTGCCCTGTGGCATACGGTGAGGGCAGGCTCTGAGCCTGAGCTCTGGGGCTGGCATCTGTGCTCCTCTTGGGGAAGGGCTGCCTTTCAGGTGGGGGGTTGGCACTGGTTGCTCACTCCAGACTGGCCTGGGCTGAGTGCCCTGCAGGGACAGGGCTGGTAGGAGCAGCCCACATAACCATTGCCTACCTCTCCCTTGGCCCATCCAGGTGGAAGAACTGGGCTGCTTAGACGTGGAGGCTGAGGCCAAGATGGAGAACCTGAGCACTGCAGTGCCTTGTAGACCCCCAGCTCTGGTGAGCAAGGTGTCTGCTCGGGTTCTCCGGGTGGATACTGGGTAACACAGTCTTCCTCTTGCTCACACAGCTCCTCCCCACCAGAGTTCCCTAGGTCTCGGGGGATGGGTTGGAGATGCTACCTGCCCCACTGCCCCATGGTCCCACATGTGTTGACAGGAGACCCAGGGGGCGGGGCGTCTCATACCTCAAGCCTTCCTGTCACTCCCCAACTGACCTGCTCAGTTTCAGGCCCTTTTCCCACCCCTACCCCCTGGCCCTTGCTGAATGCAGGTGCTGGAGCAGGGAGCAGGGCCTGATCTAGGTGTGTGGCCCCCCACAGCCTGCTGCTTGTGGTCCCAAAGGCAGCCAGCCCTCTTATCACCATGGCAACGGACCTTACAATGATGTGGATCTCCCCGGCTGCTGGTTTTTCAAGCTGCCTCACAAGGTGCGTGTCCTGGTTTGCACCTGTCCTGAGGTGTCCTCACAGGGAGATCAAGATCAGATGTCCTTTTTTTGGGAATGACAGTAGTAGCAAGACAGAGTGTCTTGGGATGGAGGTTGTCATATCTCTGAACTTTTGTTCTTCTGAGCATTGGATAGCAAGGGCTGCAGTGGTAGGATTAAATGACACAGCGCATGGCAGGTGCCTGTCCCCACATCTGGTGCATGATGGTGCTATCGCCTGATTGCTGTTAGAAGCCAGGCTTGCTTGTGTCTGTGCCTTCGTGTCTGCCTGTGTGCGTCCGAGGTGCAGTCAGGGACTTGCCTTCCACTGCTTCAGGTTCTGGGCTGGGTTGGCAGAAGCCTAGGCGCTCATGTCTGTTGATTGTCCACCCGGCAGTCTGCACCATACTTTAGCCCCTGCTTCCTTTGTCCTTTCTAGGATGGTAACAGCTATAATGTAGGCAGCCCCTTTGCCAAGGACTTCCTGCCCAAGATGGAGGATGGCACCCTGCAGGCTGGTCCAGGAGGTGCCAGTGGGCCCCGTGCCCTGGAAATCAACAAAATGATTTCTTTCTGGAGGAATGCCCACAAACGCATCAGGTGGGTCACAGTAGGAGGGCAGAGAGGCCTGTTTGTATCCTTGGTCATCTGGGACCCCTGGCTTAGCCTGTGGTCTGGAGGCTTGCTTGCTTGGGTGCCACAGACCTTGGCGAGTCTTTCCCTCTCCAGCTTCCATTTATATAAAAAGCGTGGCATTATAGGACCTTGGTGGCCCTCCCAGCTCTCACTGAACCCCTTGGTTTTTCACTACTGGAGCCATGGATGTGGCAGAGGACTCCTAAGCTCTGTTGGGAGCTGGGAGCTGGGTTTGTAATTTGGGATGGCAGTTATATTCATCAACCAAGGTGGTTGTGGCCACGTGCACTTTCTCGTGAGTAGAATGCCGTGACGGAATGGTACAGTCTGCCCTGGGTGTAGGGAGAGGGACAGAAGCTTCTTGGAGGCCTGGCTTGTTCCCAGGTGGCTCATACTCCAGGCAGTGTTGTGGGGCCCAGCCTTTGGTGAGCCAGGGCCCACCCCGAGTCAAGTTAGCAGAAGAAGGGGCAGGGAAGCCCTGAGCTGAGCAGCTGCAGGTGCTGGCAAGGCGGGATGGGGTAGATTGTGTTTCCCATGGCTGGGCTATGCTGACCAGACACTATCTCCACAGCTCCCAGATGGTGGTATGGTTGCCCAAGTCAGCTCTGCCCCGTGCTGTGACCAGGTATGTGGACTGTGGTTGGGGTGTGGGGTAGGAGAAATGAGTGGGATGGATCCTAGAGCCAAAGCAAGCTGCTGATACTCCTCTTCCCCTCCTGCCCCCATCCAGGCACCCTGGCTATGACGAGGAAGGCCGCTATGGGGCCATCCTGCCCCAGGTGGTGACTGCTGGCACCATCACCCGCCGGGCTGTGGAGCCCACGTGGCTGACTGCCAGCAATGCCCGGGTATGTATTGTCTACCTCTCTGCCCTACTGTTCTGAGGCCTGTGGAAACCAGGATTTCAGGGACCTTTGAGAATTTAGCAAGAAGCATGAAAGGGAGGTCTGGGTCAGGCAGGACTCTAGTTCACATCATGACCCTTGACCATTCTTTACCAAACGTGTTCTGGGTGCCTGTTCCTGACCAGACAATGCCCAGCCTAAGAGCCACTGGTGAAGGGCTTGGTAAACGGTGAGGCATGGAGGGTGGCGTCCTTACTTGCAGGCCCCAGGCCCCTCCTGGCTATGTCCTTGTGGGTGCTGACGTGGACTCACAGGAGCTGTGGATCGCAGCTGTACTTGGAGATGCCCACTTTGCTGGCATGCACGGTGAGCAGGAGCTGTGTGTGTCTGGGGCAGTGGTGACAGCTGCAGGCACAGGTGGCCATGAAGCATGTGTTTGAGTTTCCTTCTCCCTCCTGCCTGTCCTCAGGCTGCACGGCCTTCGGGTGGATGACACTGCAGGGCAGGAAGAGCAGGGGCACCGATCTACACAGTAAGACAGCTGCCACGGTAGGCATCAGCCGCGAGCATGCTAAAGTCTTCAACTATGGCCGTATCTACGTGGGGCAGTGGTGACAGCTGCAGGCACAGGTGGCCATGAGCATGTGTTTGGAGTTTCCTTCTCCCTCCTGCCTGTCCTCAGGCTGCACGGCCTTCGGGTGGATGACACTGCAGGGCAGGAAGAGCAGGGGCACCGATCTACACAGTAAGACAGCTGCCACGGTAGGCATCAGCCGCGAGCATGCTAAAGTCTTCAACTATGGCCGTATCTACGGAGCGGGGCAGCCTTTCGCTGAGCGCCTGCTCATGCAGTTCAACCACCGGCTCACGAGGCAGGAGGCGGCTGAGAAGGCCCAGCAGATGTATGCGGCCACCAAAGGCCTCCGCTGGTGAGGTCCTGGTCCTACCCACGCTCTTATCCAGGGCCTTACCCCACTGTATCACTCCCAGCTTCCCCATCTTTGCCTGTCACCTGAGCCCTCTCCCTTCAAGCCACTGGATATTTGCTGTTTCATAGCCAGTGTTAAATAGTCTGTCCTTGTGGGGTAAAGCTGTACGTTGGGAACGCTGTCAGCAGCTGTCAACCACAGCGCTGGTCACACAGCATAAGCAGTAATGTAGGAGTGTTAAACGTGAATGCCTGCAGAACAGTAAGTGGGTTGAGACGGAGCTGGCAGGAGAGTCGCATGGGAGATCAGTGTGTGGATGATGCTGATGGGAGAATGCCTGCCGGGCTTCCAGTCTCCTGTCCCAGCTCTAAGGTCTGCATCCTCTGGTGGTGGTTAGAGGAAGACTTACGAATTAAAGGTTGAGCTAGTGACATGGTGTCATGTAACTGCTAAGCTAGGTGAGGGGATGCCCACTGGTTTGAGCCTGGTAGAGTCAAGGGTAGTGATGAGGAAGGACATTGGCCATGGTTAGGTGGCCTTTGAAGGCTTCACAGGTGAGTTTGCATTGTAGGCCTGGGTGGTAGGGAAGCTGAGCTCCTTCCAGCAGGTGAGTGGCATGACTCTGGACCCCTTAAGGAACAGGTCTGGCAGTGTCTGCAAGTTGGATTGGATCTGGGAGTCTCCAGATGCCTTCCCCCTTCAGGGAGCACCCCATTTTCATGCCACCAAATTTGGAGTGACTGCTGCTGGTCACAGGGTACTTCAGTGACTCAGACATAGGTCAGTGCAACCAATGATGGCTCTGTGGGAATCTGTCCTTTTTTGGGGTATCATGGTGTAGCCCAGGCTTTGGGGGCACAAAAGCCTGAGTTCCTGTCTGTGCTGCACCTTTTCCCAACTGTATGACTCCAGTTAAGTCACAGCCCCTCTGAGCCTGCTCATCTGAAGTGAAGCCTGTAGGGAACAGACATGCCCCAAGGGGGTTGGAAATAGGTATGGCACAGAGGCAGGCCCTCCCATGGTGTGACATTACTCCCAGGTATCGACTGTCAGATGAGGGCGAGTGGCTGGTCAGACAGCTGGACCTCCCTGTGAACAGGACTGAAGATGGCTGGATTTCCCTGCATGATCTGCGCAAGGTCCAGAGAGAAGCTTCAAGGAAGTGAGAGCCTTCTGTGTTCAGGATGGAGGACAGGTGCAGGCTGGCCCCAAAAGAGCTGGGGCCTTATTTTAGCCTAGAGCTGCTGCTGTTTCTGGTCCCCAGGTCACGCTGGAAGAAGTGGGATGTGGTTGCTGAGCGAGCATGGCTGGGAGGCACAGAGTCAGAAATGTTCAATAAGCTGGAAAGCATCGCCACCTCAGACAAGCCACGGACCCCGGTGCTGGGCTGTCGCATCAGCCGGGCGTTGGAGCCCTCTGCTGTCCGGGGGGAGGTATTTTGCTACTCTTGCAGCATGGAGAGAAGGGGATACAGGGACAGCAGGGCTCCCCATGGACCTCACCAGTTTGGCAAATGGGGCCAGTTTGCCAGTGGAGCACCTCTGGGGCTCCTGCACCATATTCCCCCTAGAGCTAATCTGCATGTGCTGGAGCCCCTCACCTGTACCCCTCTGTCCCCCATAGTTCATGACCAGCCGTGTGAATTGGGTGGTGCAGAGCTCTGCTGTGGACTACTTGCACCTCATGCTTGTTGCCATGAGATGGCTGTTTGAAGAGTTTGCCATTGACGGGCGCTTCTGCATCAGCATCCATGACGAGGTTCGCTACCTGGTGCGGGAGGAGGACCGCTACCGCGCGGCCCTGGCCCTCCAGATCACCAACCTCCTGACCAGGTACTCAGGGCCTGTGTCCAACCATGTGCCACGTGGGCTTTGGGTGACACCACCTAGGGCCTGGCTGAGCAGTTCTCACCCATCAACACAGAAAGTGAGAAATCCTATGCCAAGACTAGATCTCTGAGGTGGCTTAAGTCAGGGGTGGTTTGAGTAATTTTCAAACCTTTCTGTTTTGAAAAATCAAATGAGTAAACTTCTCAATTTATAATAAAAGTGACATTTTTTTTTTCCCTAAGTGCCAGAAGTAGTATTCTGACAGCTCATTGTTAATGGGGAAACTCAATACTCCAAAAATGTATTTTATTTCTTGTAAGTAAAAGTCATAGTTCATGTGGCTGAATTAAGTTATTACCATTCAATGTTGATCTGCCACTTAGAACCAGTTTGGGAACCATGATCCATCCTGATTCATGAGTAAGTAACACAGGCTCGTAACAGTCATCCCCTGGGGTTGTACTTAACAAAGTCATTTATTTCTCTATTCTGGCCCAAGAATGTGTACACATCTGGAAAAAAATGTTTGAGCCTTTTAACTGCATTTTAGTCTCAGCAGGAGGTAGGCACTGTATGGAAATAGTGACGGAGTGAGGTTGGGTCTCTTTCAGGTGCATGTTTGCCTACAAGTTGGGTCTGAACGATTTGCCCCAGTCGGTCGCCTTTTTCAGTGCAGTCGACATTGACCAGTGCCTCAGGAAGGAAGTGACCATGGATTGTAAAACCCCTTCCAACCCAACTGGGATGGAACGGAGATACGGGATTCCCCAGGGTGAGCACGGCCTCTGTCCCTCAGCCACGTGGCATGCGAGGTCAGCCGAAGCTTGGGGCCAGGGAGATCCACTCTTGTGCCAAATGCTAGGCTGTTTGATTTTACAAGGTGATGTTCCGATCACAAAGGGAGGTATGATTCTAGAAACTGGTTCATAAAATGAAGGGAACACCACGACTTCAAATAACCCCCCATCTATGCTTACCTCCCTCAAGCACACCAGGAATATTTATAAAGATTTATTATGTAAGTCAAAGTGCATTCTTGGGTAAAAAACACAAAACTCCCCAAACCAACCAACTACGTGCTGAAAATGTCAACGAAGTGAGCCCTTGGATACAGTTCTTGAGGCAGCACCCTAACCAGTTTACCCTGTCTTTCAGGTGAAGCACTGGACATTTACCAGATAATTGAACTCACCAAAGGCTCCTTGGAAAAACAAAGCCAGCCTGGACCCTAGCTCTGCCTGGAGGCTCTGAATTTGCTCCCGTGGAGCTTCGTGGGGGTGTAGGCTCCCAAACTCAGGCTTTCAGCTGTGCTTTCTGCAAAAGGGCTCGCTGAGGACATTCATGGGACAAGATTGACGAAAGGAACCTCAGGCATCAAAATGCTATGTATGACCCTCAAATGCCAAGGAGGTAAAGGGTAGGACCAGGTACATCAGGGCCTGCATCTAAAGAACTCAGGTTCAAGATTTTCTGAGAAGCCAGAAATTCAGGGCTGCAATTTTGAAATGGGAGTAGGGTCACATTGACTTGCTACTTTTTTTTTTTTTTTTTGGTGCTAGGGATTGAACCCAGAGCCAAGCACACACTGAGTCGCTACCTCTCTCTTAAGCAAACCTAAGATGATGAAAAATTTAGGTGCCACAGAAAAGGAAATCCTGGGCTCTGCTTCAAAGATGCTGCAGGGAGGGAGATGTGGCACTGTAACTGGCAGAACTGAAGGGAGAGGAACAAAGCAGGAAGTGAAGGAAGAACGCCTTACTGAGATGTTCAGAGGAAGTAAAAACTGCTTTTTGAGCTAGAAAGCTGCAGCTGGCTGTTGTCAAATGGTTCAAAAAGAAACAGGACCCACAGCAAGACACTGTTGCTGCCACTCTCTTGCTAGATGTGTCTGCAAGCCTGGACAACTTTGTAGGCTCTGTTCAGTTTAAAACCCTTGTCTGGACATTCTTTGCCCACCACTATCTGCCCTTTCTCTGCTGGTGGCTGCCCTTCTACTGATCTGTGGCTACTGTAGGTGCAGCCTGGCAGCAAGCAGACACTGACCCCTGCGCTGTCGCCCTCCCCGTCCTCCTGGAGGAGCATGTCCAGTATGCTCCCTCTGATCTTGAAGTCCCGGGAGGTGCTGACCTTCATGTGCTGCATCAGGTTCACCTGTGACAGATGGGATCGTCAGCTCTTGCTGTGACAGTGTACCTCATAAACCCTCCCAAAAGAGCACACACCCCAACCTCCCCTCCCATCACTTTCTGCATGACCTTTGGGTTGGGCTATTGGCAGAAATAGCAAAGAGCAAGGAATGGGTCATAGCTTATTCTGCTTCCCAGATCCCCCTCCCTTCCATAGAGTGAATGGCAATGGTGACTATAGCACTTCACCTTGGACTTTTTAGAAAGGTGGATGAGAAATTTTTCGTATTGTTCAATGGCAAAGATGAGGTTAGGGATTGGCTTGGTTTCCCGAAGAACTCTGGCCTAAGGGCAAAGACAGAAGACTTAAATTTCACTTTTGATGGTTTTTGACCTTTTCCCCTGGAGCTGTCATCAGCAGAACTGCACCTGACTCGGGAAAATTCGTCCACCCTCAACCAAATGCACCAACTCTTCCTATTTAGAGTTCCTGAGTACTCACCTCGAGACTGGCCGAGGAGGGCAGGGCCACTTGCAGTTTACTTGCCTCTCTGACTTCATATTCTTAAAACAACAAGCCCACTGTGGCACCAGATCTATTTTCTTTTTCTAGTTGGGTTTTCACGGGTCTTTTTCCCTCAAGTTGAATTATAAATTGTAGGCCCTTCCAAATGTTTATATGGGTATGTTTGTATATTTCAAACCACAAGTGAGGACCACTACATGCTGGTTCTTTTTTTTTTGGTACTGGGGTTTGAACACCTTGAGCCACTCCACCAGTCCTTTTTATTTGTAATGGGTTTTTTGAGATAGGATGTTGCAAACTATTTCTCCAGGCTGGCTTTGAACCTCGATCCTCCTGAGTAGCTAGGATTACAGGTGTGAGCCTCACACCTGGCTGTCTCTCATTTAAAATTTAAACAATTTCTTAAGAGATAATTCTACAGATAAGCGTCAGGTTTCTATTTTCCCATGTCACACAGTATTCTCCAGTGTAAATGCACTGTAACCTATCCAGCCAGTCCCTCTGTTAATGAACACCACAGTTATTTCCGGTATTTCTCTTTAATAAAGAAGTTGTGAAGACCATCTGTACCCAGGCCTAAACAATATCTACTTGTAAAAGTGGACTTGTTATTTCCGTGTACTTCCTAAGGTTTAGTAATTAGTGCCAAACTGCCCACTTGAGGCAACACTATCATCTTTGCCTCTGCCAGCAGTGTGCACTCCTGCACCCTCACCAGTTTTACAGACCCTTCAAGGAGCACCTCTTGCCTTCACCTACTTTTCCTAAGAACAGTTTTTACTGACCAACGCTGAACGGTCAGCAGCTTACCATGGCTGTGGCAGTAGTTTTCTCCTTGTTCTTCTCTCCCGGATAACTCAGGTTGCTGCTCTTCTTATTCTAAAGAAATGGAAACACATTCTGTCATTCCCAGTATTTCTGTGTAGAGCCAACAGGCTGGTAGTAATTTTCCTACAGAGATTATAATGGGACCAAGTTTTCATGAATAGTACTGCAACAGACGCCACAAGTTTGTGATGTCAGATGATATTTATCTCCCTCCTTGGGAGGTGGCACGTGGCAACTGGTGGCAAGACAGCCATTACTGTGTGAGGCCAGCCAAGGGACTGATGGGTGAGGTACAATGATGGTTAAAATGGTGACTGTCAAGGTAGCAGAAAACAGGCATTTCCTGCTAGGCAGCTGAACCACCACCAGTTGTACAGTCGTGTGTACTGTGGCTGTCGTGCCTCCTGCCAAGGGTGCAGATTACTGGGTGATAAAGAGTTCCTGGAGAGGAAGAACTGATAAAAAGAACCAAGAAGTAAAGATACTGACAAAACAGAAGCAAGACCTGAGAAGACCTGGGCGGAAACCACCTAAGTGTGAGGTACATTAAACACAAAGCTTTTCCCTCAAAGGAAGTTCCATACCGTCTAGGACAAGAATATGCCAGGGCCCACAGTGACGGCGATAAAAGAACCATGACCTGAAAATGTAGAGGAGCTAGACCATCAGAGCCAGAGAGAAGCAGGCAGCTTGTTCCACGTGCTACGTTAAAGCCACGTTCTGGAAAAACCACTTGAGAGATCCGTATAAAGAAGTCTTATGTCTGGCCATTGAAGGCAGGGTAGAGGGTGAAGCTGCATTAAAACAAAGGAAGAAAAGCAGCCATGGACAGACCTCACCTGACCACATGGGAAGTGACCCATCTTTTTTTTGGTGCTGGAGGGTTGAACTCAGGGCCTTGCACTTGCTAGGCAGGCACACTAGCCACTTGATCCACACGGCCAGCCCTGGAGAGCCAGCTTTCCAGAGGATGTATCTACCACAGCACCTGCTGAGAGTAGACCCTGTCCACTGCCCATCCCTACTAACTCAGGTAGGACTAACACTTAAGTAACAAGACAAACAGTGGAACTAGAAGAGAAGCATCTTTAAAAATGTAGTTCTAGAAAGGAAACTTGAGTTTGGAGCTATGGTTTTCATGGCTTTCTTTTCATCAAAATCTAAGGCAGCTCTGAAAAGTGTGGCAAGTACGGCCCTCACTTCTACATGAGCTTGCACTACGAACATGGGGCTCTGGCCCAGGATCTCAAAAGTATACCTCACAAAAACAGGGAATGTTTGCCTGTGGATATAAGGCAAATATGGACAGGGGAAGAGGAAAATACCCAGGGAACTGGCTTTTATGTAAAGTTAGGAAGAGCTAGCTGTCCAGAGGTGCCTGAATCCACAGAAGCAAATGCTTGAGCATGGACCCAGAAACACACTCACCACAAGTAGCAAATACTTCGTGATGAGGGGTTAGTAAGCTGCTTCCCATAGCCAAATGCAGCCCATGACCTGTTTTGAGAGTGCTTCAAGAGAACAGAAGCACATTCGTGTCTGTGAATACTATCTACACCCACTTCACACTACAACTGCAGAGCTGAATGGCTGTGACAGACCACATGGCCAACAAAGCCTAAAACATTTACTATCTGGCCCTTTATGGAAAGCTGCTGACTCCTGTTGTTGAGTCAAACTAGCTGGGGTTAAGGGTCAGCTATGTCTCTTGCTGGCTGGCTGTTTTTGGCCATTTCAATACAGGAGTAACTTCTGATCACAAAGTATAGTTAGGATGAATGAGGTGATACTTGAAAAAAACAACACAACAGGCACAAGGTAGGGCTCTAAATGTTTGCTGTTTAATAAAATGAATAAAGTAATCTGGATTAAAACAAGGGTAAATATGGCCAGATTGCAGTGTTCTGAAGTTGTAATCTATGGAACACTATTCTGCCAAACAGTAATATTTACTATTAAAAAAACAAACAAAAATAACAGGTTTGGAAATAAGTACTGGACACACACTAAGGCCTCAGCACCTTTAATATGCTAGTGGATAACCGTGGATCTCTAAGATGAGGGCTATAGTATGAATATTTCCCACAGAATCCTCCTGTTTCAAAGACTGTGTCAGTCTCTTCAAGATCCTTTGTGAAATGTGGCCTTACAGCATCATTAAGATAATGGGGGAATTCAAACCCCAGTGGAGGAATTGAGGAATACTTCCTATTCAGACAACAGGCCTGGCATAATGGCACCCTGGAAAATGCGTAAGCTTGAACCTTAAGCATGCCTACAATCATCTGGGTGAGATACAAAGAAAGGACCAGAGATAACCGCTGATGAAAGTGGGCTGTAGACGTGGACAGAAAATGGATGATGCATTCCTGACACAGATCCCAAAACTGATACAGAGGCCAAGTTAGAGAAAGCCTCAATGTTAGCACGCTGTCAGGAGCTCCTTCAGTCAAAGCCAGATAACAGGTTACCCTTGGGCCACTGATCATCAGGGCAGGGAGGAGGCATCTTTGATAAACACAAGGCACGTTACCCGGACATGATGCAGAAATCAAGAGCAGCACCCTAGCAAAGTAGTCACAACCAACTGCTTTAACAATTGGTTCTAGAATCTTGGTCAAGATAGACAACCCAGTGGGCCCATTCTCTGATACATTAATGGCAGAGACTAAGTAGCCTTAGGAGACAGGAGGTCTCCCACCATCAATGGTTCTCTACTGGGGATGATTTTGCCCAGTAAGGACACTGGACAGTTTCTGGACAATTTTTGGTTGTCACAACCACCAGGTAGATAGAAGCCATGGATACAGCTAAAAATCCTAAAGTGTACAGAACAGCCCCATAACTAAATATTACCTGGCTCAACATGTCAACAGTGGTAAGGTTAGCAGCCTCTGGCTCAGTCAGACAGTACGAGAGTCAAGAACTGTAAGAATCTGATAGCACCTACTATCAGATGGCACTTAAAATGTCTCCAAACACGAAGAGCCTTCCTTCCTCCCCTCCCTTCTCCTTTCTTTATTTTTATATTTTTTTTTGTGGTACTGGGGGTGGAACGTAGGGCCTCATGCATGCCAGGCAAGTGCTTTACTACTTGAGCCACATCTCAGCTGGAGAAAGTCTTTTTATTAATTTAGAGGGGGGAAAATAAAGGAGTCTGGGCAAATGATCCAACAAGCCTACATCCCTGCCACCTCCCTGGGAACACTGCTATTTTATCTCAGCCTTCTCCATGGACTTGCTGTTACTTCACTGGCACTCCAAAAGGATCCTCATGGCATGGGATTTCAGGCTCCCAGGAATAAACCAAGTCACTGGGCCCAAGAATACTTGTTCCTTCCCAGCCCCAGGTGCAAGCACATCAAATCCTTTCTTTCTCTAAATTAAAATGGTTTCTGGGTGATAGGAACAAATGTGATTGAAGCACATTATATATATGTATGAAAATAGCGTAATGAAACCCATTAAAAACTGGCAGAGGAGGAAGAGAGAGGGGTTAAGAGAGTAATAGAGGTGGTGAATTTGATTAAAGTACATTATATGCATATATGGAAATATAATGAAACCCCTTTGTACAGTTAGTTTATGCTAATAAAATTGTTTATCAAAGATCCAAAATAAGGCTATTAATAAATTTTAAAAATGATTTTTTTTGGTATGAATAAAGACCTGCTGCAAAGCCCTTCAAGTCTGGCTTGGTATCAGATGGGCACCATGACTTAGGGAATGCAGGGAAAAAACTTTATATCCACTTAAACTTGGGTAATCAAGTAGCCCCTGGGGTCCTAAGAACAGCTTTCTTGAAGATCTATTTGGGTGCTGCCCCTGAATCACTTACCTGTACATAAGAAATGAAAGAATAACATAGTGGGGTCAGATGAGAGCCTGACAGCTTCACCTGCAACAAAGGAGAAGGAAACCAATGTAACCGGAGCAGTAAAATCCTTCCCCCATTCTTAGGAAAGCCACTCTCAACTTACCAGCTTTTCCATATTTTTTGGAATTCTTCTGGAGCGCCGACACACCTGGAGATACTAACAAAAGATTTCTAGACTTAGACCTTCCTATGAAAACAAAGGTGACTCTTGCAGTGAGCCCATGGAGTGCAACTCATTGCTCTGACTGGAGAGGGAAAAGGAAAGTTCATAAAGGAGCTAAGGCATAGGCTGACTTGGCTATTTATCCTTTTAAAATGCCAGTGAAGAGGCTCTTTAAAAAAGCAGAGGCTCCGTCTAGGGATAGCAGCATGGCTGTCTGGCACACTGTCGGGGGGGTCTACTTCTTTCTTACTATGGGTCACTGACAGAATCTAAACTCTGTAGTTCCTAACATTTCTAAATCTGTTGAGGACCAGAGAAATTCTGAGTGCAAGAAAAGAGTTTCTTTGAAAAAGACATTCACTCTTGGTCAGGTGTTACATGCTCACATGCTGAGGAAGTAAGAGATTCTGAAAGCAGATGTAGAATTATGTCATCAACTGTTTCTGCCTGGCCTGTGAAAACCCCTGGCAATCTTCCATAACTTGCAAAGATGTGGGAAGAACTCTGTTCAGATATTCCACAGCCAGCTCACTAGGGGAGAAGGAAAGGGTGAACCGAGTGTCTCTCAGATACTCACATATCTGACAAGTGCTGTAAGGATGGTATACATTTTGCACAGGTCCTTTAGTAAGGTGTCCACACAGCTGCCTGACGGCAGGGCTGTTTGCACGAGCTCATGGAAACATGTAAGCAGAGTTCCCAGTTGCATAATGATGGCTTTCTCAGTGGGATGACTTGGTGGGGAAACTTGAGAAGAGGCTTCTTCTGAAGAGAAACAAAACTGGCTTATTTCAACCTGTCTTACTTTCTAGTAACAGTAAACAAGAATTGAAAACCAACTAAGAAGCTGGTGCAGAGTGAACGATCATTATGTAGAGCTGGACTGGGGGAGGGGCTCAAGTGATAAGAGCACCTGCTCAGCAAGTGTGAGGCTCTGAGTTCAAGCCCAACTGCGCCCCCACCAAAGATTGTCTCACTATGCAGAATGAACTGATTATTAATGCCATCATAAGCCACACGACTTTCTACTTCTTTCATCACATCAGAAATCTTGTTCAAAAACAAACACCTAGCCACTGTGTCTGGATGGGAGATGGCCACGTGAAGTGTTTATGGACTGGAGGAGGGTCTGATGTGGACCCACTGAGGAGTTTAAGCAGCTGGGAGCTTGAGCAGTGAAAGCACAGTGGTCAGTGGTCCCACTCTCTGTAGCAAAAAGAAAGGTTGATTGCCTGAGAATTACTGTGGAAACAGAGCTCCAAGCCCATAGCTGGCAAACTGCTCGGCCACTGGGAGCTGCCTCCTGGCTGCATGTAATTTGCTGCTGGGACATTCCTCCGCCAATGAAGAGATACAAAATATCACATAGTACCACTCCTCCATAAATCAACAATTGTACAATAATGGGCTCTAATGATAGTGAAGTGGATGAAATCCCAAAGAATTCAAAAGAATGACTGGAAGAATGATCAATGAAATTAAAGAGGACACAAATAAGCACAAATCAATTCAAAGAGAAGACAAAGAACTGAATGAAATAGAAAGACAATGCAGGATATGAAAGAGAAATTCAATGAAGATATAGAAATCCTGAAACAAAATCAACTTGAAATTCTGAAAATAATAATCTCAGTAAATCAAGAAAAAAAAAACCTCTAAGTCTCACCAATAGACTGGATCAAGTTGAAGACAGAACATCAGAGCTTGAAGACAAGGTAGAGCATTCAAACAATAATTAAGAAAAAGTATGAACAGAAAATATAAGACCTCTGTGACAACATTAAAAGACCAAACGTGAAAACATGAATCACGGGCACAGAAAGAGAAGAGGTACAAGCTAAGGGCAGAGAAAATACATTCACAGAACAGTAGCAGAAAATTCCCACAATCTTGAAAGAGATGGTTATCAGGTACAGGAGGCTTTTCGGAACACCAAAGAGACCAGGAAACAACCAATCCACGTTATATTATATACAGAGCAAGGAAAGAATATTGAAAGCTGTGAGAAGTGCAAGTCACAACTGATTTTTCATAGCTAACGAAGCAATCTGGCTAAACCCCAAGATTGCTGTGGAACATGATGATTATGTAAGCCCACTGAGAGAAAATAACTGCCAACTTAGATTACTGTATCTAGCAAAGCTATCCGAAATGGAGGGAAAATCACCAATTTCCATGAAATAAAAAACCTAAGGAATTCACAACTACAGAGATAGTTAAAGCCTCTAAATATACTTAAGGGAGGAAATGGGGCAGGCTAGTGTCACAAAGAGAGGAACATACAATCTGAGATACAGTGTGAGAAAGTAGAACTTACGAGATAAGACTGGAGATAGGAGTTGAGTAAGGGTTAGTTAGAGCGAGCATAAAATGGACCAAACATTATGAAAACAACAAAGTGAAAGAAATTAGTACATACCTTTCAGTAAAAACTTCAAATGTTAATGATCTCAATTATCTCTAATTAAAAGACACAGACTGGTGGACTATATTAAAAAATAAGACCCAACTGTTTGATGCCTCTAAGAAGTGCCCCTGACTGGCAAAGACAAATTCAGGCTCAAAGTGAAAGGATGGAAAATGATATTCCAAGGCAATGGGAGCCTGAAGAACAGGCAGGAGTGAGTGAGGCTGGCGATGATTGATGACGATACAGGGCAGACTATTGCCGAGCGCATTGAAGATGTGTGTCAGAAACAACTAGAAGACAGTCATTTCATACTGATAAAGGGGACAATTCAACAGAAGAAAACAGTTGTAAACACAGACACACCAAAGGCTGGCACATCCAAATTCATAAAACAAACACTACTGGACATAAAAGTAGACAGACCCCAACACATTAGTAGTGAGTCACTTTATACACGTGCGGCGGATGACGTCACGCTGCAAGGCATGAGCAGGTGTCATCTAGATTTAAAAAAACTAACAAAGAAACTTCAGAATTAAATGATACTATAGATTACGTGATCTTACCAGAATATTCCACCCCAAAGCTACAGAATACACATCTTTCTAGGCAGACAACGGAACTTTCTCCAAAACAGATCATATTTTAGGACATAACATAAAGCAAAAGTTTTAACAAATAACAAGAAAAATGAAATAACTTCCTTTTTTTTTTTTTTTTTTTTATGGAAGTACTGAGGTTTGAACTCAGGGCCTGTGCTCCATATATATGCCTCAGTCCTTTTGCTTTAGGCATTTTCCAAACAGGTCTTCTTATTTATGCTCAGGCTGGCCTGGACCACAGTCCTCCTACTTACACTTCCCAAGTGGCTGGGATGATAGGAACCTGTACCACACCCAGCCTTTACTGGTTGAGATGGGGATGGGGTCTCACTCACTTTTGGCCTGGGCTGGCCTCAGACTGTGTCCTTCCAATATCTATCTCCAAAGTAGCTAGGCTTACAGGTGTAAGCCATCCTGACTAGCTGAGGTAACTTCCTGTATTTTATCAGACACAGTGGAATAAAATTAGACATCAACAGCAAGAGGAACTACAGAAAATACACAAACACATACAGACTGAAAATATACCTCTGAATGACCAGTGGATCGTCAAAGAAACAAGGGGATATCAAAAAATTTCTAGAAGCAAATGAAAAGGAAAACACCACCTAATAGAACCTATGAGACAGAGTGAGAACAGTTCTAAAAGGGAAGGGTATACTATGAATGCCTGCATCAAAAAATCAGATCTCAGATCTCAAATAAATAACCTGATGATATGCCTCAGTGACTGAGAAAAATAAAAACAATTAGTAATAAAAGATTTGAGACAAAATTAATGAGACACAAATAAAAGACTTCAAGATCAATGAGCCCAAGAGCAGGTTCTTGGAAAGAGTAAGTCAGACACGAAAAAGGTGTAGTCACAGCAGATACCATAGAAATCCAGACCACCAGGAAACATTTGAAAACATACACCCCAATGAACTGGAAATGACCACCAGGAAACATTTGAAAACACACACCCCAATGAAATGGAAAATCTGGAAGAACTGGATAAATTTCTTGACACATATCATCTTCCAATAAGAAAATATACAGCCGCAGGCTCAAGCTGTTGAGCCCAGCAAGCACAAAATCCGGATTTCCAATCCCAGTACAGCTTAAAAAAAAAAGATATATAAATAACTTAAACAGATCTATAACAAATAATAAGACTGAAAAAAACAACAGAGATCTTCCCAAGGAAGAAAAGTCCAGGACTGGATGAATTCACTGTTGAATTCAAGACAAGGGCATCCAATTTCTCTACTCTTATTCAATATAGTGCTTAAATTCCTAGCCAGAGCAATAGCGCAAAAAAGAAAAAGAATACTAACAGGGAAAGAAGAAATCAAATTATCCATTTGCAGGGATATGATCCTATTTACAAAAGACCCTAAAGACTCCACCAAAAAACTCTTAGATCTGATAAACATTTTTGGCAAAGTAGCAGGATACAAAAATCAACATTCAAAACTCAGTATCTGTTCTATACACCAATAATGAACATGTCGAGAAAGAAATCAGGAAAATAATTCCATTCACAGTAACCTCAAAAACAAAAACAAAACTTAACTAAGGAGGTAAAAGACCACTACAATGAAAACTAAGACACCAAAGAAAGAATTGAAGATTGCTTCTCAGCCTTTTGGCTAAGATCAAGTGTAGAAAGAATTGAAGACATTAGAAGATGGAAAAAATTCCCATGATTCCCATTGTGAAATAGCTGTATTACCAAAAGTGATCTGCAGAGTCAATGCAATCATCAAAATTCCAGTCATTCTTCACAAATAGAAAAACCGATCTAAAGATCATACAGAAGCATAAAAGACTCCTAATAGCAAAAGCAATCCCAAGCAAAAAGAGCAATGTTGGGAGTGTCATAAAACCTGACTTCAAATTATACTGAGAGAGAATTCCAAGATGGTGGCTAGAGGTAGGAAGCAGAAAGCGACCCTCCTATAGTGAAATCTTGGAGAGACGCTGGAGACACACTTTGCAGGCATAATCACCGAGAAAAGGCATAACTGACTTCTCCACATCTCCAGCTGGTGCAGAGAATCTCCACTTCACGTTAAACGGAGAAACAGGAGGGTCCCCGGGTGGCCAGTGGCCGGCGCCCATATGGCTTAGGAAGACGCGGACCAGGTGAGCTTCACGGTACCGCGGTAGCCCCACAGACAAGCCTGGGCCAGAGCAGCATAGCCCCCTGGACAGACTGACCTCCACCGGGGAAAAAAAGAGAAACTGAGTACTAAGCAATAAGAACAGTTAAGACATGCTGGAAAGAGGGTGGGGCACCCTGAGCGCTGAAGATTGGGGGAAGGGAACCCTTCCCGGGACTGTAAATAAACGAGCCGGGCAGGCCAGAGAGGCTCTGGCGGGGAGCGGGGCGCGCCCAGCAACCAGGAGCGGGGACGCTTGTGAGAGGAGGGAAGACCCACTTCCCACGTGAACTGTAAATAAACACGCAGGCCTGACAACGCGGGGCAGTGGCACCTTTCCCAGTGCTTGGAAAGGGAAAGCCTGTAGCAGAGGCTCCCGCACAGGAGAACTCTGAGCAAACAAAGCCTGTGGGACCAGGTGAGTGCTAGCTCACCCCAGAGATCTGCATAAATAACGCCGCCAGCTACAGGCTGAGAGCAGCAGGCAGGCAAGCCACAGTTGCAGATACCACTCTCAGAACTGTCTCCAGAGCTTTTTTTTTCTTTTTCTCCCTACCTTTGATGAGAGAACAACCGAATTACACCTGCAAGCCGAAAAACTTACTG